GCAAGCATACTACCATTGACTTATACCCCCAGGCTTTTTAAAATTCTAATTTTGGACAAGGCTAACTAAATTGCCTAGGCAAATCATTATGTAGCTGGGGCTAGCTTGAACTTGCAATGCTTTTACCTCCCTCACCTCGGCCTCTCAAGCAGCTGGTATTATAGATATGTACTATAATACTCAGCAAATGGCTGTGTCGTTAAAAGCTCTCCAGGTGGTTTCATGTGCATTTTGAACTTTGGATCATTTGATTGGATTATTTACTTATTGGACTACCAGCACTAACTATGCTATTATACATAAAATTAAGGATTTTTTTTTTACTTTAGGATATATAATGAAGGAAATCTTAACCAACTACATGGGAAGAACATTTTTAAATGCATGTGGATGTTTTGCCTGTATGTAAGTATATGTACCGTGTGTGAGGAGTCCCCTCAGAGGCCGGATGAGGGTGTAAGGTCCCCTGGGACTGCAGTTACAGATGGCTGTGAACTGCCATGTGGGTCTGGAAATCAAGCCAGGATCCTCTGAAGAGCGGTTGTGCTCTTAACTGCTGAGCCGCCTCTCCAGCCTCACACATGGAGGACATTTCAATAGAATTGAACAAACTTAGCGAGGTTCTATTTTGTGCCAGTTACTATGTCAACGGCAAGAGAAACAGATGGATAACAAAAACGAATTATCATATAATAAACACATTTAAAAGAAAAAGGGTTTCAAAGGCTTTTTTTTTTAAAAAGGAAGGAGAATGTAAAAAAATAAATGTGATCCAATTTTTAACAACAAAGCCAATTCAGGAAAGGAAACAAGAGAAAACAGAGGGAGGAATGTGTATTCACAGAAGCCACAACACGAGATGCACCTGGATGCCCACTGGAGGATGAACATGTGTTATCCATACACAACAGCGTGCTATCCACTTCTAAAACAGAGCAAAGTCCTGTCATTTGCTGCACCAGGAAGGGAACTGGAAGGCATTACTGTAACTGAAGTGAGCTGGGCCCAGAAAGACAAATGCTGCATCTTCTTACTTACATATAGCAGCTAAAATGATTGATTCCATGAAGGTGAAAATAGAATGGTGGTTACCAGTGGCTAAGAAGAGCAAAGGGGAAAGAGACGGCTGGTGCTGAATATAAAGGTACAGTTGGGGTAGGTGGAATGCCTTCTCATGTTCCAGAGAACCACAGGGTAACCATGGTGAACAACAAATAGTTATGTCTTTCAGATTAGCTAGAGAGGGGTTTGAATAGTCTCAGCACAAAGAAAGAGGGTGCTGGAGACCCCGGCTATTCTGAGACGACCGTCACATATTTGAACCATCACAATGTACCTCACAAAGACATACAGGTTTTATGCATTAATTAAAAATTAAAAATAAACATGAAGTGTGAAAGATATGTACAAAGCGAAGCCTGGGACTGCACTTGACTGTCATTCCAGAATTTGGAATAGGGGTATGGATTAAAAACTTCTGCTGAAAAAATGAATTGAAGAGTGTAGAATTGTACAGCGACTTTGGGAAACTCCCCAGTTTCTTAGAAAGCTAAACAGAAATTTAGCGTAGACACAACCAATTTTTCTTTTAAGTTTGTATCCAAAGGCACATATGACTTGCATATGTATGTATAATGTTCATTGCAGTATTGTTTATGATAGCCACAAAGGTGGATTCCAAAATTATCACTTGGCAAAAGGATAAATAAAACATGAGATAACTATACAAGAGATGAATGCATGAACAATAAAAGGTACGAACAGATGATGAGATAGCATGATAGTCCTCAAAGGAAAAGCCGGAAATAAAGGATTAAATATTGTATGATTTCATTTATATGAACCTGGAGATTTGGGTTGGAGAGATGGCTCAGTGGCTAAGAGCGTTTGTTGAACAACAGTAAGAAACAGAGTTCAAATTCAAGCACCCGTACAACAAGCTATAACACCAACTCTGAAATGGATAGAGATAAAAGGATAACTGAACTTTGCTGGGTGCTAGCCTACATATAAAAACTATAGCCACTTGGTTCAGGAAGAGACCTTGCCTCATCGGAACATATTGGTAACATATTGAGGACACTTGGCATTTTCTTCTGGCTAGCAGCATGTGCACACAAAACATGTGTGTATATACTTAATCAGACACACACACACACACACACACACACACATGATTATGTAAGTAAATCTTTTGCAAAGGACAGAAAAGAATGACAAGTTGCTAGGGAGGGTATGAATAGGAGCTAACTTCCAATGTGCATAAGAATGGATCGTTGCCTAAAAACAGGTTGAATTTTACCGACACGTAAAGAAAGTTTTTGTTGTTGTTGGAAAATCCACTCAGGTAACTTTAATAGAAAATGTCATAGTAAAATAACTATATTGAAATATTAAAGACAGTTCTGAGACTGAGTTGAATAAAGTCCCGAGCACTCGAACCAGTAATAGAATATAAATCATCTCACTAATCTTACAGAACATAGGAATAGAGACTAAAGAAGAGAAAAATGGTTTAAAAAAACACAAATATGATGGAAGAATATCAGTAATCACCTGGATTCAATTCACCTATCAAAGAAAAACTCATGGAAATATTAAATGTGCAAATGTGGGAAATATTCACTGTACATATAGCAGAGAAAAGAAGAGCAATTTATTAGAAACAAAAATTTTTACTTTAAGCAGTTAGCATGAAAAGTGGTAATGAGAGGCACGACATAGCAAGAATCAATCGTGATTTGTAATGGAGAATATACTCTAAAAAAGATTGCTGATTACCAGGGATGGTGTTTGCCTTCTATGTTGCTGGGTCTTCACGACTTAGCAAATAATAGGAATCCCATAATTATTACTGAACGGGATCACTACCAATTCCCACTGCAGTGATCTGTTTATGGATTTGACATACTACAGAGGAAAGGACTGTGTCTTAGTCACGGTTTCTATTGCTGTGATAAAACAGTATCACATAGGCAACTTGAACAAGAAAGGTTTTATGTCATCTTACAGTTTGTAGTCCATCATTCAAGAAAGTCTGGGAAAGAACTGAACAGAGGCCATGGAGGAATGTTTGCTGGTTTGCTCAGACTGCTTTCTTACCGTACCCATGACCACCTGCCCAGGGATGGCAGCACCCACAGTCAGCCTGGCCCCCAGACTGCAATTAAAGACTGCACTACAGACTTTCCTACAGGGAAAGCTTATGGGGGCATTTTCTCAATTAAGAGTTCTCTTCCAAAATGACTCTACTAGCCAGGAAGGGAGGCGCTGAGGTTTTATGGCATGAATATTCAGTTTATGGGGCTGGAGAGAGGGCTCAGTGGCTAAGGGTGCTTGCTGCTTTCCCAGTTGATCCGAGTTTGAATCCCAGAAGCTACATTAGGTGGCTCACAGTCACCCGTAACTCCAGCTTCTTGGAAGCCCACATCTTCTGGGCTTCCATGGATACCCATCCAATGGAGTCTGTATACAGACACAAATGTACACATAAGTAAAAATAATAAAAAAGATTTTAAAAGATTTAATATTTTAAATGCAGCAGACACTCCTAGTGTGATAATGAATCATTATCATTACAACTCAAGGATGATTTCTTTCATAAAAAAGATCCTTGTTTCAGAACACAATGGCGCACTCTGTTCCTGCTCCCACAGAACTTCTCATTTGAACTATCTCATGTAGCAACTGTATGCCTTTTAAATTTCTCCTGCTATCTCAAATCTTGCTTCCCTTCAAAAATTACATTTTAGCATCTTGAAGACAGGTAGTGGCATCTACTATAATCGCCTTTCTAGGTACTAAAGTGATTTTTTTTTTAAACAGTAAACGTAGGTTTTATTATTGGTGCTATGAGATAGTATGTGTTACGTAGTGGCACAAGGCAAGGCTTCCAAGAAGCGACTGTTTGGAGACAGGCGTGTGTGCAATGAATAGGAAGAAGTTAATGGCAGGACAGGAGAAGATAGTTAGTGTTCTGTCTCAAGCCTGTGGTGTATTCCTCTGGCAAAGCAGTGCTACCGGCAAGGGTGCCTGTCCATCCTTGTAAAGGACAGGTGTGGGACGTGCACGGAAGATGCTTAAGAAAGAGAGTAGAGCATGTCCTTCATTACATTCTGGACAAAACCTGGGGCAGGTCTTCTACTGGTGGGCACTGTTAGAAGTTAGAGGCGAAAAGAAAAATCCCAAGTAAACGGCTAATTTAATCTACTCAAACTCTATAGGAAAGATGGGAAGGGACATTTTTCTTTTACAGACATACGGGGGAGTTGTTCCTAACTGGGGAATTGCAAGGGATTAACAGCCTGCAATGGTAACATCTCAGACGCACAGCCTGAATATATTCAACTAGGACCCTGAGATGAAGTAGGGAGTGGACTGGCTGACCTCCCAAGGTCTTTTCTATTCCCACAGTTATATCCGGAATCCCTCCTTTTTCCACTTACGCGCATACACATGCCTGCAGTCAGTTTGATAGTAAGTCCCCTGGGCTGTCTTCCAGGGTTAGTAGGACACCACACAAGGCTGATGGTACTCAACAAATGATTTAAATATTTGTTGAGTGAAGGAATAAATGAATCGTGTTTAAATAGGGCTCACATGATCTCCCCAGCTGTAGAGCAAAGGGAGCATGAACACACACACATACACACACACACGCACACGGAAACACCGCCCCCAAACACACACACACACACACACACACACACACACACGCACGCACGCACACACACCTTCTCACACTCTAACCTTGAGAAAGCACAGCCCACCTGCTCAGCAAGAAGGCTGCGGGAGTTTCTTTGGCAAGGATCCTGTCTGTTGCTTCCAAATGCTGACTCTGGAAGGTCACTTCACCCAGCTATAGGACAGCTTCCCTTGGTCTCCGAGACAAAGTTTGTTGAGGTTCAGTGAAGATCTCCCCTGGGTATGCGTCCGCATTCCCACCTCTACTCTGGGTGCCCCTGGCGCACAAATAGTCCACCCGCAGCGCCCTGCCTTACCTTGGTGAGCTGAGCGATTTTCTTGCACATTTTCACGTGCATCTCGGGATCACAGTCCATTCTCCAGTCCGCACCAGCGCGGGCGTCGGCTTTAGAGCCTGGCGTGTGGATTTTGCTGTGGAGGGCAGATGCCATCGCTTTAAGGCGCCCTGCACTAAAAAGCTCTGGCGTGCACTCTCCCTGCTGGCTGTGTGCACGTACGTGCGAGCGCGGGCGTGAGGGCTTTCTCCGGAGCGGTGGCAGGCACTGCGGTCCTGCCAGCACAGCCGCGTGGCTCCCCTTTCCGGAGGTGCCTCCCTCTCAGGCTCACTCGCGCACCCACCTTCCTCTGCTCGTGCTCGTTCGCTGGCTAGCTGGCTCACGGGCAACCGCACCCTGCAGAGTGGCGCTGGCGCTCTGCACGTGGGGTTCACGATCTGCTGATGCTTCCGAGAGAGTGCGGGCTAACACCAGCAAGAGGACAGCTTCTAAGGGGTGTTGGGGAGGTCTGCCCTGGACAGGTAGTTTTCTTGGGCAACTGGATGGTATGGGGCTCCTAGCTCCGCTATGAGCGATACAGCCCAAGATTGATTGGCCGGGCTTAGAGGAAAAAAATGCTGGCCGTAGTCCCTAGGAGTCCGGTGAGTCAGAATGAAAATACCCTAAAATCCTGTGAATTGGTAGTAGATGAGACAGGTGAGACAGCGGATCCAATACCTGCAGCCCTGATGCTGGAGGGTGAAGGTAGGAGGTGGCAGGGGGTGGAAATAGGGGGTGCTGATTCAAGGAGGTTGGGATCCAGAGCTCAACATCGGACAGTGCTGGAGCCTCAGAACCACAGAGCAGGACTGACTGGGAGCTCCCCGCCCCCCTCCGGCTTGGATAGGAGCCCGCTCAGTACTGAATGCTAAAGATGTCCAGCAATGTCAAGTCCAAGGCCAATAGTGACCGAAACACGAAACAAAACAAAACCCCACATAACTCTTAGTAGGGAAAAGGTTAGCAGCAACACAGAGAAGTCATGCGGGAGGTAAAGAGGCTGGTAGCTGGTATAGGAAAAAAAGGCACAAGGAGCATCAGATGCTGCTGAAAAGCCAAGTCTGCCCAGTTAAAGTGAAGTGGCCCATCAAACTGTGCCATTACCTAAGACAGGCCTGAGGCTGAATCCTGCCACCATTTGAAGTTACTCCCTTTAGTTTGGGAAGGAGATGGGTAGCGGGTGAGCGAAAGAACCAAAACCTTTTCTGACTTTCCTTGGTTTTAAACAGTGGACTCTGGAAAAAATGACAGGACCTTGGGCAGATTTTTCTGAAGTGTGAATACTGTCATCGCTATGAGTTTGCACAGTTAATATATTTTATTTTATAAACTGTCTGACCCTCCATACTGGAGGTGACATTACTCATTTTTATAGGTGAGGTAAATTAACAGTTGGGTGTGAAATGGAGACACCGATACTACTACTTTGGTTTTATACCGACTTCCCCGGGCAGTCACAGCACCCACAATAGCCACCAAGAGACTCTTGGGCCTTATCCTAGGACTCCTTGGGACAAAATCTCTGGCAATCAGAGCCAGCAGTCCATGTATTAAAAACACAAGCTCCCTATTTAATTCCAAGTCATGTAGAATGGCATCTACAGGATCTTAATCACATGCCAGCTTTTACAGGAATTCAACCACTGCGCAAATGAGAAGCAAATTAGCCATGGCTTCAACACGAAAGCAAAAATGACCCATCATTTTGAATTTTCACACCAGTGGCCCTGTGAGTCGTAGTATTTGGGTGTGAGTACACATGTGTCACAATAGCCACATTCCTGGTGAGTCTCCTAATATGTGCTAGCACCTGAGCACTGCATTGTAATAAAATTAGTCATACATATCAATTAATTGTAATCTCATTCCTTGCGTTAATGTCGAGAAAGTAAAGCAACTTTAAAATAAGTGTTAGGGCTGGGTATGGTGGATAACTCCTGAAATCCAAGCCCTCTGAGCCAGAAGCATAGTTTCTCAATCTTCTCTCCCAAGGGAGATATAAAAACAAAACACCTTGTCACAAAAAGACAACATTTGCTCTGAGATTGCATTAAGCGTATTCATATAAGAACACAAAATATGGCATTTTGGAATAAAATGTATTGAGGCAAAAATACAATTGGGTTATATAAAATGTTAATATGATTATTAGGGACACTTCAATTTGTTTTGGAAACAGCTGCCTTTAAGTCTTTGGTAATATTGTTTCCTGCTTTCCTTAGACTGGCCATAGATGTGGAGCCCTGTGAAGAGAGAAGAGAGGCAGGCACACTGGCACAAACACCTTCTCTGTACAGGAAACAGTCAGTTTGCAAAGTACACTTGACTTTAGGGTACATGGGGAGGAATGGACCTGGCATTACTGTAGTTTTCTTTCTGGTCTATTTTTAGAAGTTAAGTAAATAGAACTCACTAGTACTCAAAGAGGGAATAACCTGAAGCTTCCTAGTTACATTTGTAACAAATGTTCCTCGCTGAATGGAAAGCAAATACTTAAATGGAGTTAAGTATTGGTAATGTAGTTGATATACAGTTGAATATTGGAATGCAGGTACATCATTTAAAATAAATTTAAAATTTAATATATATTGGCGTTCTGTCTGTATGTACATCTGTGAGCCACATGCTTTCCTGGTGCCTGCAGAGGCAAGAGGAGAGTTACATATGGTTGGGAGCTGCTCTGTGAGTGCTTGGGAATTGAACCTGGGTCCTCTGCAACAGCTAGTGCTCATCACTTGTGAGTCATTCCCCAGCCCCCAAATTGTTATTTCTTAATTTCTATTTCTAGATCTGACCACTGCCTTACTTTAATCATTTTATACTGTCACTGTAACATACATGCACACGTGTGTGAACACGTGTGCGCGCGCACACACACACATCCACACACCAAAACCACACGCACACACACTTTACCAACAGCGTTTACAGGAAGCTAGAAATCCTCAAATCTCAGCAAACCCTCAAATCATTAGGAAGTTGTTTAAATGAGTACTGTGGTTCCCCACCTCAGAAACGCTGATTCCCTAGGACGAGGCAATTACTTCTGTTACTCTGCTGTTGAGCACGGCAAACACTAATCTGAATATTGCTTTGATGACACAAGCAGGCCTTGGCAGCGCACTCTATGTCTTCTTGCTTGGTAATGTTTCCCTCACCCCTTGTATTCCAATTCCATCAACCTTCATGTTACAGTTGCTAAATCCTAGGTAGCCCTGGCCAGACTGGGCCAGGCAGAGATCCTGGAGCTCCCACGTAGGAGTCATCTGATGAAACTTTTGGAATATTACATTTTACTAATAGATTACAATTACTGTTCTGATATTTTAAATGAAACGGCAGAAACTAAAATAAATTAGAATTATTTTTTTCATTTTGAAATTTGTGATTCAGAAGTCTAGTTTTTAGCTCAGTTTAATTTCAACACTGATTTTAATAACTGTTATAACTTAAATACCTGTAAAATCTTGTAAGCTCAAGGGATGGATTGCAGTATAAACACTTTCAGCCAATTTGTGTGAAAGAGTTTGTAGCAATTTTGTTCAAACTCAGTAGTCGTGTCTTCCTTAGCCAATCAGTTCTTAGGAGTCATTCATAAACTATAGCATCTAAGAACATTTTTTTTTGTAATAGGTAATATGTTCACAAGGTACAGTATTCAAACACAAGAAAATGAAGTCTCCGTCAAAAGTGTTTTGTTATTCTTCAGCTCTCTCCCCCTCAGACAGCCGCACCTGGACGTTCAAAGCAAGATTCTGAACCACTGTGTATTAAGTATCACGTTGACTGAGGAGAAACATAGCTCTCCCATACTGCATCACCTCCCATTCATCGGCCTTATTCGGTCAGAACTTCACTAGGGGCTGTGGGAATCATGAACATGAGGGCAGCAGCAGTTATTCCTACTAGCTACATAACCTCTTCATTTAGGATTTTTTTAAAAAAAGGTTTTTTAACCTTTTATTTTTATTTGATGTGAATGGATGTTCTGCCTACATGTGTGTGTTGGATCCCCTAAGACTGGAGTAACAGACAGTTGTATGCTGCCACGTAGGTGCTGGGAACTGAATCTAGATCTTCTGGCAGAGCAAACAGTGCTTTTAACCCCTAAGCCAACCCTCCGTTACTAGGGTTGCAATAAAGTCTGGGTCTGGGTTGGCATCAGGTTCTAACAATACCTACCTTTGGCCTTTGGTAGGTGTAAATGGAGATTGTGTTTTTGTTTCCTGGTTGCCAAGACCCAAATAATCACACAAAAACTATATTAATTACAACACTGTTTGGCCAATGGCTCACGTGTATTCCTAGTTAGTTCTTAAATCTTAACCTATTTTTTTTTTTAATCTGTGTATTACCATGAGGCTGTGACTTACTGTAAGGTTCTGGCATCTTTCTCCTTTGACACCTACACGGTATCTCTCTGACTCTGCCTACTCTTTCTATATGTCTCTGTTTGGATTTCCTGTCTGCCTTTACTCTGCTAAGCCATTGGCCAAAGCAGCTTCTTTTTTTAAGCAATGGTAATAAAACATATTCATAGCATACAGAGGGGAATCCCACATCAGGCAGGCTAAACGGCTGCTGCCTCCTCTTATTCTGATATGCCTATAATTGAAAAGATCAAAAGCAATGGTTCTTTGTTAGATAAATGGCAAACTTGGTGACTGTATCATTTTATTCTCCCACCAGTAAAATATGGAAGTTTATCTTGGTATGTATATTTGCAATCACTTTATAGTTTGCCCTTTATTTGTAAAAAAGAGACTGCTCATTTGTTCCCTGCCGCTCAGAACTGAATAATCACACAGAAACTATATTAATTACAATACTGCTTGGCTAATGGCTTACACATACCCTTAACTAGCTCTTATATCTTAAATTAACACACATCTATTAATCCGTGCATCACCTCGAGGCTGTGGCCTACTGGTAAGGTTCTGGAGTCCTTCTCCTTCAGCAGCTACATGGCTAGATGAGGCGGTGAACATACCTCCACCATGTTGGATGGGGTGGAGCCAGCAGGCAGGGGCGTGGAGTTAGTCACAGTCATGTCTGCTTAGCATTTTTATAAAAAGGCACTCCCGGTCAGAAAATGATCACAGATATGCAATAAAGATGGAGTCAGACAAAAATAAACCTCTGAATGGGTCACATGTGTTTAAAAATGTAAATAGGCTTGGGAGAGAGGAAAAGAGTATAGACAAGAGTACAGACAGTCACAGATGAAAAGAGTAAAGATAATAAAATAAATATTAAAAAGTAATAGAGTTAAAAAAATAAGCCATG